CCTGGCTCTCCTAGTTGTGATCATTAAGCAACTGCATAGACCATTAAGCAGAGCACCAGATATAGGGCCCACTCCACCACGCCCAGGAGACCGAGACACCACCACCCCCGCCACACCATGCCTGGCTACACTTTGTTTGCTTTTTTCTGTAGCTTCAGGCATACCCAGTTGATGCAAAGAGCGGCATTATTCCTGAGACTGCCCGGCATCATTCTGCATGTGGACCCCATTCTCATAATCTTTGACAGCTACAGCTCCAAATCATGCACTTTGGAGGAGACTTCCAAACGATTACAAGAATTATATCGTGTTTGCTAGCCTTCCTAAGCATTCCAGCCCTCCTAAGGCTAGACAGCTAGCAAATACCATGGTGCTGGAATTTATAAATCTCTCTAGTCTTCAGAATGGTGGCAAATCCTGGAAAAAGGACTAGAAAACTAGCAAACACCATAGTTTTCTAGCCTTCAGAATCAATAGTGTTGCTAGTTTTTGAATCAGCATCCACTGAGAGAAAGGCAAAAGTGAAGTCATAGTTCAAGTGATACACATTATATAACTTACACCATTTTCATAGTGATATTATGGCACGTATCATCATGACTTGTATTTGATATATATGCTTGGTCAATACCTCTGCCTCACTTTTCCCTGGTAGGGTATTTTCTAGAGAAAGTGACCCATCCTTAAGGCCCAAGAAAAATAAAGCTCTTTAGGGTGCCACGGTATTTGCTGCAATATAATGCTCTAAAATTTCCTGTTTTTTTAAATAAGAATCCTGTGTGCTTTGCCTTGTCTTTGAAAAAAAAGCATTCTCTTGTCTAGGAAATGTTAACGAGATCAATGTTTTCTAAATGACTTTTAAAAAATGATTTGATATGCTCTAGAAGGAGCGCCATTAATCAACTTGCATTTCAGATAGATTTTTAGTCCTGTCAGAAATGATTCAAGACTTTCCCTCAACCTAACATCTTTGCACATACTATCTGACCAAAGTTTACCACAGTGGCCTTTACCCTACATTACATATCCATAATACGTTATCAGTTATTTGCTCACAACAATCAATGATTTGTTTTAGGATCTGTTTAAAAAGTCTAGCTTTGTAACTTTAATGTCTTTGATATAGCTTTTTGTTAAACATGACATTTTTCCATTGCCCAGCTGTGCATTTTCTCTCAAGTGACTACCTATTGCATGGAAAGCTAGCTATAAGCACACAGTCCTGATCATAGGAAACTTAATTTCTTTAGCAGCCACAAACCAGTGGCAAATACTTCCACACATTTCCCATGTACATGGATGGGTACTATGCAAGAACACTTCCGTAGCTCCCATTCATGTCAGTGGATCTTCCCTAGACCTCTTAGTTTGCACTTGTTTAAATCAGTATTCATAATCTATTAACTTTGGCATATTTTAACAGAAATCTTTGTTCCCATAAAATACCATCAGATGAAATTAAATATTTAGTAGTCAGGTTTTGTTATACTATAGTTCATTCTTCATGAAAAACATATGTTGTATTTTGACTGTTTCCTAGGATACTGAAGCTTCATGTGAAATTTGGCTTAATAATTTAGTACAAGTTCAGTATGCTATTTAAATGCAATTGTTATCTAAAATACGCTGACTCAATTAATGTGGGGGACAGCATGATAAGACTTTGAAAATGTCTTAACTGTATGTACATCAGGTAAGAATAGGTCAGGTTTTGGGCCTAACATTTTTATGATGCATTGTGCCACACAATTCTTAATATATAGCAAGTATAAACAAGATGATCAAAATTGTTTTCTTGATTATTTTGTATATTGTAAATGGAGCTCTATTTATCTTATAGCTCTTTATTTACTCAGTAAAGCCTTATAAGAAAGTAATGTTGTCTCTTTGTTCTGAATCTTATGAATCATTTCTGGCTTTTATACAGAACTAGTAACACCAGAATTTATATTAAATCTGGTCCATAAAGACTAGTGATCGAAGAAAGCGGTCCCTTATTTTTATAACACATTTGAAAGTTCAAAAATTACTATCTAAATCTCATTCTAATGTGTGACTTTATATACTATTTAATCAAGATCACCCTTCTATTAGCATTTTTCCTGCAGTTACCAAATTCTTCATGGCATTCAGACACTACTCCATTAACTTTCTTTTATTTTTTTAAAATTTTTATTGGTTTTTAAAACAAACATAAACAAACAAAACATAAAAACATCAAGTCATCTTCCATATATGTACATACAGTGTGCCGGTTGGTTTACAAATTGTTTTGTGCTTCCATTTCATAGTCTTCAATTATAATTACATTGTATATAATCTCGTATTTTCAATCAAATATTAAATACATTAATATCATTATTAATCATTTAACTATACTTTTATTCATTCATGTTTTACAAAATGAACATATTTTACTTAATTTGTTTTATGTCAATTCATATTATCATCCCAGATCTATCCTAGAATCATTTTGTAGATATAAGAATACATCTTTATATATTTATTATTTTCTAAAAGTCTACATATTACATTACTGTATTTTATTGTCTAACCATTGATAGAATAGATCCCAAATTTTATAAAATTGATTCTCCAGAACTGGTCAGAACCTGCTGAATACCACCTCTGGTCTGCACCATCCAGATCTGGAGGTGAGTTGCTGTTTTACAAGGCAAATGCAGATAAGGCATCTTTCTTGGGTTCCATTAAATGGAACTGATAAAACTTAGAGCAATCCAGAACTTGTTAGGAAGGCATGGATAACAGATAAATGACCCCTAGCCCTGTGTCATATAGGGCTTTGCAGGTGACTATCAACACTGAATTGCACCCAGAAGCCCAATAGTAACCAGTACAGATCTCACAGTACCATGACATATGGGCATACTGAAATACATCCCTAACTCTACTTGCTGCATTAGTGTGGACCAGCTTTTCATCTGTTTACTTCATTTATTTATTTTGTTTTGCACATTTCTAAGATTTATTTATTATTGTATTTGTTAGGATTGTCTGTATACGGCTGAAGTTCCATAGGATTTATATCTATAAATGTAAATGATAATGCTACAATTAAAAAAAATAAGACATGGCCAAAATCTTCCAAGATCTCCAAATATGGTAAATTCTAGAAGAGGATATTTGTAGCTCAGGATCATGTTATTTGTAGCCAAGAATCCCATAGTAAATTCACTATGTGTTCTCACATGGTGTTGCATATGCATGGCACCAGTAGAGTAGTTATATAACTTTTAGATAAAATCTTAATTAACATGCATAACTAATATGTTGGAAAATTTGCATATTATCCAGGCTTGGTGAAAAACTTAGCTGAAATGCTTATTCTACAAAACCTATGGAATATACTGAATAGGAATTATTTACAGTATGTTTGTCCTTAAACTCACATTTTATTCTTCACCTTACCTTCTTCCTCCTCCCAAATTTATGACTGGGAAAAACATTGGCATCTTATCACCACGAAAAAAAAAATATTGCACAACATGACATTCATTTCATAGTGGATAAATCCCACTGCTTTCAAGAAATCTAGTCTTCAGTGAAGAATTTGATGGCATAAGAATGAAGGCTGCAGCAGAATAAACCTAGTCCCTAAATGTGTTTGTTTTTCACATATAATAGTTACATTTCTAACTTTAAAAGTTAAGTTAGATTTTTGGTTAACGTCATTCAAATGTAAACCACAATGAGGTAAATGCTCATGTCATTTGTGTTTTTTATGAATTCTTGACTCCAACATTGAATCCTAAATGAGACTTATTCAAGAATACTCAACAGAGCCTATATTCTAGAGCAGGGGTTGCCAACCGTTTGGATCTCAGGGACCACCAAATTTTAAATCCCAGGGACCACTAACCGGTTTTATGGGTGTGGCTGGCCTAATTTGTGGGTGTGGCTTGGTGGTCATGTGACTGGCTGGGCATGGCTTATAGGTCCTATATCGCTCCAATGCTAATCACTTGAATGCTTTCCTTCTCGCCAGTGCGCTTTTTCAACCAATAGGTCCTATAGAACAGCGGTTGCCAACTGGTGGGCTGCGGCGGGCCTCAGCGAAATCTCACCCCCAGACCACTCCCCCAAAGCAATTCAACCAGGCTGCCCAGAAACACAAGGCTATGCTGTCGACATGGCCCACGTTAACCTTCCCCGCCCACTCACTCCTTACCTCACAAACTTGCCTGCTAAATTGCTTTTTTTCCTTTTTCCGACCATCATCTATTCTGCTGTGCTGGGAGATTTAGATTAGTTAGGAAGCAGGAAATGGTTGGATTTCTTGCTTTCTAGCTAGTCTTTAGATCTTCGGGTCTGCTTTCAAGCACAGCCGAACCTCCCTTAGGACTAAAGGTTGTGTTATTCAGTGCATATTCCTGGTAGGCAAATTTGAGAGACTGAGCTAGCCGATGGCAGATAGATAGATCACTGAATGAATCTGTGATCAACTCAATCTGCCTGCCTGCTTTTCCTGATTTTGGGTAAATGTTGCTCTTTTTTAATAAAAAAAATCAATATTTACAAAAATATTTATAATATTTACATACAAGCCATGCCCAGCCAGTCACATGACCACCAAGCCACACCCACAAATTAGGCCACACCTACAAAACCCATTAGTGGTCCCTGGGATCTAAAATTATGAGTTTGGTGGTCCCTGAGGTCCAAAAGGTTGGCGGCCCTGTACTAGATGACCTACAAGGTCCCTTCCAACTCTGTTAATCTGGTTTCAAAGAAGACTGCTCCACAGCTCCAACCCTAATCGTTTGAACATTATCCTCCTCCTCGCCAGCGCGCTTTTTCGACCCAGCCCCGCCCTGCGACCATCACGTTTTTCCCAGCCAACGTGAACGCCCACTAGCAGAACTCCTCCCACCATGTCCTCATCTCGCTTCCCGATTGGTCCGCTTGGTCCGATGACGTAAGCGCGGGTGACCAAGCAGGCGGGCTTCCTCCCGGGAGTCTTGTTTACGCGTCGAGCTTCCCGCTAAACCGGAGCTGCGATTCCCCCGAGCCACGGCCGGCGTGTTGGGGGAAGGGATGCCGAAGCGCTCCTTCCCGTTCGCGGACTCGTCCCCGGTGCAGCTGAAGACGCGCGTGCGGCTGAAGGAGCTGAGCCAGGGCGTCATGGGCGAGAGGTACCGGCGCGAGATCTTCGGTGAGGCGACGCGGCGGGAAGGGGAAAGGACGGAGAAATCGCTCGGCGAGGCTTGTCCTCGCGAGAATCCGAGTTTCCTTCCGTTACTTGAGGGCGCGTTTGCCTTTTGTTTCCCCGCGGGACCTTTCCGCCCCGGCGTGAGCGGGGTGCGCCTTTTTTTCGGCCTCTGGAAAGGCGGCTGCTCGGAGGAAGAAAGCGAAGCTCCCCTCTTTCCTGTTACTGCAACACGGCGGGACCGGCCACTCTAACTTGGCTGGTGTGTGACACCCCCCCCCCCCCAAAGCGCTCTGTGCATGCTCAGAGGTGCTCCATCTCGCCTTCGAAAGCGTGGGACGCGCAAGCCATTTGATAAAAAGGCGGGGCTCATTGTTAATCTGTCAAAGGAGCCCGTGTCGTTTGATTGCCTTGCTTTCCCTAAACACCCTTTGATTGCAGAACTTGGGTCCCCCACACAAGGCAAAGTGCCCTCAGCTGTTGTCCTCAGTGTTTCGTGTTTCATCTTCGGGGCTATTTTATCTTCTTGCTGTCTTAAAAGACCCAAAACAGTTGAATCTCCAACCATTCTGCTCGGTTCAACATCTAATTTGTGTGTAATGTTGCATATAGATATTCCCTGTTTAAGTACTGTCACTATGATACTGTGATAACATCAAACTAGCTTGAACTGAGGTATTTAATATTTAATTGGCATACATAATTCTGACCTCATTGAAGCAATATGGTCTGGTTTTAGGTAAATCATATGTTGTAATTTCTCAACAGGTAGAAAACTTCTTTGCAGGAAAAGAGGTTTGGAAATAGCTCACAATTTTCTTAGTTAGCTTGCAGGGTACAATATTCGGGTTGAAAAGTCCAGACAGCCCCCAGAAGGCAGAAAAAAGTAACTGAAGTCATATTTCTTGCTACAAATTTGTACTTAAGAGGTTATACAGTAGACACAAATGGAATAATGCACTCTAGTGTCACTCTGAACAGTACAATTAGAATATCATTAATAACTTTCTCATTTTTGTCCTTGTTCTCTCATTATCACAGAGAAAACCAAACAACTGCTCTTCAGAGGTGCTCAAACATACATGAACAATGCTTGCAATGCAAGTGCAGTGGGAACATATCTAATTGCACAATATCCAGACTCATGTATAGACAAATCAGAAATTTGTTCCTGGCACAGATGTAATGGACAAATGTTAATTGGGCAGGATGGAAAACTTCGACAACCTTGTGCAAGTGAAATGGGTAAGGATGGTTAGTTAGTTATCAAGCACTTATGTACTATTAATTTTCCATCTGCAGTTTTCAACCTGTTTCATGTATTATATCTAGACATGCTGTTCACCCTTAGTTTGTTTTCAATGACAAGAGAATTCAGAAGTTGTAGTTATGAGTAAACTTGTGCTCATATATTACTATCATTGAATCATGTTGGTAGTAGCTGCATTTCAGTACTTAACTTTGTGGTGGGAATTCCCCCCAGTTGTTTAGAATTGCATTATATGTTCTGTGGCACCAACTTTTTTGCAACATGGATTTTTGGAATATGAAATCATAATTGGAAAAGGCCTCAGAAGTAATTTCATTTAGGCAGTGCAGAAATGATACAGGTACAGAAATTATAAAGATATATAGCCAGACTGCCAATTTTTCTCAGTTGCCATTCAGTTTATTATTTCTCTCACAACTACTAATCTCTAGTTTCCAAGAATACTCCAAGAGTAATGCAACTATATTTGTACTAGGAGAAAAATATCAAGTTATGCTAAATTGAATGTTTCTTTATATTCATACTCTATGGTTAATGACAAATTATAGATGAAGTGTCTGTGAAAGAATATTGTCCTATGCTTGGGGATGTATCTAGCTAATTTTCCTTTTAAAAAAGGAAACAGCAGATAATAGCAAGACTTGTTCCCAATGTATGAAGTTGTGTATATATATCTATATAGACTGTTGTATTGTTTAAATAGATTTCTGAATATATTGTGTAAAAAGTTAAATGCAATGTTGTATTAATTGGATAAATGCAAGAGAAAGTCCTGTAATTGTATTTAAATGTACTTATCTGATATAGGAATGTATGAAAAGTAGTATTACCTGATTTGCATATAGAAAGTCATAGGCTCACTCCTTGGTAACTTCAACTCCACTAAGTGATACCTTACCTTATCTATTGGATAAATCTCTATAAATGATTTTGTGCTAGAGAGTCCAAATAATCTGATTTGATTATATTATAAAGGAGATGCTTATGGTAAAGTCTAATTTACCAATCTGTTTGTTTTACACAGTTTTGCCAGGAGGAGTATCAAAAGCCTGTTCCTCCTGTATAAGAACAGTTGACATAAAGGATGTTTGCACGCAGTGTGATCAGTACATATGCCAGAACTGCAGCAAACTCTGCAGCTGTTGCAGCACCATTGTCTGTTCATTATGCTCAGTTATAGAGTAAGTGCCTATCCAGATAAGCCTTAATTTCCTTTGGTTGTATTGAACTGATAAATTCTGGAGGGATTTATAATTGTACCATGACAAAAACTAGATGCAAAGTTAATAAAGGTATATGAGATGAGGCTGCAGAAAGTTTTGCATTAACAATTTTAAGAACTGATACCCAGAAATCAAATACATTTTTGATTCTTGACAGAAGGGAATATTTTACATGCTACAATTACTTGAATTCAGTAACATTGGAGACTGCTAGATTTGGCTGAATTAATTGCTACAATATAGTTAATTCAATCTTTTATGTCAGGATTGTCTAGTTGGATATTATTTGAATTCAGTAGGGCAATTCTTATGTTTTTATTTCTGCTCACAGCTTAATTTTGTCACAAAGCATTATGGCATGTGGAAGAACCAGAACAGAAGTTGTGTTCTCTTTTTTACTAGAGATTAAACTAACTTTTATCTTTTCTTTTTTTAGATCAGAGGATGTTGGAGATCAAATCTTCTGCAGTGGCTGCTCAATGTACAAAGAATAAACAGCTGTTTTTAGGAAATGGTTGTCATTAGTGTTGTAAAGAAAGTATTGCTTTTAAATAATTAGGTTTTTGAGATACTGGAGTGCCTTCTAAATATTGTATATTCTGTAATTGTAGTTAATATAATAAATATTTCCTATTTTGATAAGACTTGATTTTTGTGTTGCTTGATAAAATATGAATCTTAGATTCCTTGTAGAGAATATAGAATGGATTCTTAGTATTCCCAGACAAGCCCTCAGATTTGGTTTGTAGACATAGTGGAGTACATTTGTTGCATCAGCAGGGGATTAGAAGTTGGAAAGTGATAAAATATCTAAGTGAGTAAGCAGGGTGTGTTTCCTTGAACATAACCTGACATATTGTTTTTGCAGTATCCAATAAAAGAAAATTGCTTATAGATTAGATTTCTAATTGAAAATCACTATCCTAATCTTAAAATAATTCTTGGTTTATCAGTAATCTGCTAATTCATCTTTTGAAAAAAAAAAGTCTTCAGTCTCAAGATTGTATTTTAACACTTCTATGTGAAAGAAACTTGATATCATATTTAAGAAGTTAGTATTTTTATTAAAAAACACAAAGATGCATGTCTTTTTGTATTAAGCTAAATGATACTAGTATTTGCCATACAAATCCAGTCTTCAGACAGGTTAAGCTAAACACATAGTGTCTCTTTTTATCTTATATAAAAGATATCAGCTATGCTACATAATTGATACAGGCCCTTAAAATAATGCCTGCTAATATGTATGATATGCAAATTTTACTTATAAGGACATGTTATAGGTTAGTGTGATTAGTTTTATACTATTTTAAGATCACTATAACTTTAATATCAACGTGAAATTAATACAAATCCCATATTCAAAAAATATTGCTTGTTTTCTTGTATCCCAGCAGGTATTACATTTGAATATTCTTAGCATTCTTAATACTGTGTTCTGTCTGGGGACTGAATTATCCTAGTGAAATAGTGTTTCATATCTGCAATTAAATTCTTAGGTTAGGAAATACAAGACTTCATTGTGACATGAGAATTCTTGGAAAATATGTAAGATTCAGTTTGATCAGTCAGGATCAGCAGTAAAATTGCCTTATGTGATCTGAACTGCCCTGGCGAGACAATATGACCCAACCAATTTAGGATGGGAATGGGAAAGAACTGTTACCTGTTTTCATTGCTATCAGTAATGGTCTTCCTGTACAGGAGTTTGGTGTAGAAGTGTTTCTAGACAGTAATGCTCTTAATCATGTGCCATTTAAATTGCAGGGTGCCATGATCTGTCTTGGCAGTCTTGCCATAATTCCCATTCGTGAGGAATATTTTTTAAACATTCAAATTAAGAATCTAGTGCTAACTCAACAAATCCCTACTGCATGTGTCTGCGTTCCAAATGACGTGAGTTGGATTGCTTAGATATGAATATGATCCTCTGGGGGGGGGGGGGGAAATCAATGTAGAACTTCAGGAATGGCTGCAGTTTTATTACCATTTTTTTTTACAGAATAACTACAGTTAAAGTGACTATTCTTCATTAGAAACAATATTACCATTCCAAACACTTTTAGTCCCCCTAACTATGATGTGACATGGTGAAGAATGTATTTATGCTAAGTAATAGCAAGGCAGGTCAAATCTGAAATATTACTTGTAAAATGTTTTGAGTTTTAACACAAAGTTCAATCAACTGAAATTTAAGCATTTAATTAGAATTGCAAAACAGCTTGGAAAGAGATAATAACTATTCATTCTGCCACAAAATAAGTAGGAACACAATAGAAGAGGAAAGGTGTTTGGCCTTCACTTCATGATTGAAGTCTCTGACTTGCATTTTTCCATACCATTTAAATTTGAGCTACCTGTGACAGAAGATTGATGATAGAAAGCTCGACATAGCTCCCTTGTGACAGAAAGTAAGCCTATTATCTTTTTGGGTGCACTGGTAAGCAAAATCCTAAAATCATTCTTATTAAAGGAGAAGAAATTAAACTTTGTTTTCTAAATTTTTCCCTGCAACATCATACATTTTATTCTTCTGTATTCTAATTGCAAATAACGATCAGAATACAGGAAGGGGTATTATGCACAAATGTTTGCATGGTTCTTATTTACCTCTCTATGTTTTGAGTGCAGCCTAACACATTCTCCCAACTTTGGGTTCAATCTTGTTCTATAATCAGCTCAACTTCTACCAGGTAATAGGAGAAAGTGAAAAAGGGGAGCATAATTTTTCTAGAAAAGTGTGTCAACCTTCAAGATTTTTCTCCCTTTGCTTTGCTTCTTTTGGCTGTCATAAGTAATGGGGGGAGGAGGGGGGGAATGATTGTGGGAAGTGAGATGGAGGTGTTACAAACCAGAACTGTATAAGCTGGAGGGGTTACATTCTTGCTTAGGTTTCTATCCCATGCTATGCGCAGCTGTAATCCTTTATCAAACTATGTCAAGGTCAACAGACAGAAGCCTCATCACCACCTGGAGATGCCCACATGATGATATACACAACTTTTAATTGGATGAGCCAATTGAACTATTGGGGGGTGTATATGTGATTTATGAGCCCATTTTCTCAGATTCAGAATTCTTTTGTTGCTACCACTTGATTTCCAGTAAAAGATATCTTTTCTCTGATTAAAAGAGTCTTAAGTATTTCTTTCTTGGATTTTGAATGGAGCACCAGCTGACAGTGTGTAGTTTTGAATTCATCTTCCCTGTAACAACTGCTGGTTTATTTGAAAGATATTTCAAGAGCTACCACAAGGCCCATGGGTACCATTATGTCTGATGATTGGTCTCTGCTAACTTCCACATTCCATGACCTGATTTTTCTGTTCTGTGCCTGATAAGGATACCCTAGGTATTGTTTTAAAAATAGGCAGCACTCCTCCCAAAGCAGCCATAGTGTCAAACTAAAATAAATTCTAAATCCCAAATATCTGTTGGCCAACAAAATATGGGGAAGCCTTGAGTCATTTAGTTTAACCTTTACTTATGGATCAGGATAAGAAGGACTTCAAACTGTATATGGAGATTACATGTCCACTTTATTGACACATCTGCTTTTGGGGTGGGTTTGGAGATCTAGAATCAGCGTGGAGTGGGGAGGCAGCTAATTTACATCAGTTCCTTTGGACCTGTAGCCTCCCACACTGTGTCATGTCCCTGGTGGAGTCTGACTCTGAGGAAGAGGAGGAACAGCCAATGGAGTGGGAGTATGGCTCCAGAGGTGGTGGAGGAGGCTGGGGAAGGGCAGAGGACGGCTGAGCAGTCAGAGGAGGATCCAGGCCCATCCCCTATCCATCCTAGGTCACGCAGGGAGGAGAGGATCAGGGAAAAGTGAGGTCTACTCAAGAGGAGATTACCATGCTCCTCCTCATGGCTTGCAGGTGGGAGCTATGTATATAAGTTTGCAACTGCACAGTTAAAATTGCTGAAGTAAATTAGTGTTCACTTGAAAGAGGCTTATCTTTGCTGGCATTCTTCCCATGGACTTTTCTCAGTTATTTTCCTGGAGCTTATAATTAGTTATCTCAGCTTGCTTCAGAACTCTCATCAATGTGGTTTGTTTTGGTTTTCTGTTTACCTCATTATTTACTTTTGTGACTTTAAACTGTGCCTAATAAAACAGTGAAGTTAAGTTGAAGGCTTTACCGGACTTTAATATATGTTTTGGGGTTTGGGTTATTTTGAGAGACTACGGGTCATCACATTTTGACTTCAGCCACCCCTTCAACTTATTTTTGCTTTTTGTGGGGTGATCATGGATCAGCTCAGAGCAGAGATTGCCCAGTTAACCCAGCAAGTGGCTCTTTTGACTGAACAGGTGGCACAAATGCAAATTCGATGTGCCCAGCCACACCGAAAATGCCCAGTGGCAGTGCCAGATAAATTTGATGGTTTGCTGGCCCAATTTCCAGCATTTTTTGGGCAGTGCCAGCTTTACATGAGCCGGCACATGAATCGGTACTCGCTTCCCCTCATCCATGAACTGATTGAGCGGCAGCGTCAAGCTAAGATCTTTACGAAGTTGGATTTGCATGGGGCCTACAATCTGGTTCGCATTCGTGCAGGGGACGAGTGGAAAACAGCTTTCTGGATGAGGTACGGGCATTTTGAGTATACCGTGATGCCCTTTCAGATTAACCAATGCCCCAGCTGTGTTCATGCATGTCATACACGATGTTTTCCGTGATTTGTTGGATCAATTCGTGGTCATTTATTTAGATGACATTTTGATTTACTCAGACTTCCTGCAGGAACATTGGCAGCATGTGTGGCTGATGTTGCAACGTTTGCATGATAACCACCTGTTTGCTAAACGTGAGAAGTGTCAGTTTGCACAAACCACGATTGACTTCTTGGGACATCGTATTTCACCTGCTGGGGTGGAAATGGACCAGGAAAAAATACAATAGTTGCAGGAGTGGGAACCTCCACAGAGGGTTAAGGATGTACAACAACTGTTGGGGTTTGCGAACTACTACCGCACATTTATTCCCCACTTTGCTGAATTGACTGCTCCCCTTTCTAATCTGCCCAAGAAGGAGGAGAAGTTCCATAGGGGTGCTGAGGAGCAGGCAGCTTTTGAGGTGTTGAAAGTCGCCTTTGCTTCTGAGCCTATCCTCAAACACCCTGATCCAGGCCAGCCATTTGTTGTGGAAAAAGATGCTTCCGATGTGGCTGTTGGTGCGGTGCTCCTTCAGGCCTATGCTTCTACAGGCACCTTGTTCCCGTGCGCTTATTTTTCCCTGAAGTTGTCGGCTCCAGAGTGCAACTATATGATTTGGGACAAGGAGCTATTGGCGGTTAAGGTCGCTTTTGAGACACGGCGGTACCACCTGGAGGGGGCTTATCACCAAATCGAGGTTCGGATGGATCATCGCAATTTGGAACACCTTCGTACAGCTCGGACATTGAACCAGTGCCAGGTGAGATGGTCCTTATTATTTGCTCGATTCGATTTCTGGGTGACCTATGTTCCGAGTGGAGGGAATGAACGCGCCGACACCCTATCTCAGAAGCCCGAGTATACCCGAAGGGAGGATAAAATCTTGCCCTGGATGGTGATTCCGTTGGAACGGTTTGTGGCCACCAAGAAACCTGTGGAAACTTCGAGTGAGGATTCAGGTGGCACAGCGGCAGGAC